GTTCATCTTTTACTTCAAATTTTTATTTCAAACCACCTCAAAAATCTATCAATTCATCCCAAAACTTTCAAACTCCTTAAAATATACCCAATCTATTCCGACAATACCCACTCAAAAGAAAGTAAAAAATTGACATTTTTTGCTACAAATAGTTAATTAGCTAATATTGGTAGCATTTGACTAATATTTGTAATATTTTATGAATTGACCAATTTTTGTAATAACTTACTTATAGCCGGACATAACTGGTAATTTCCCAACTTAATTTGTGGGGTAGGGGTGGGGGTACATTATCTTTGACTTTAAACTCAAAGTCATACATATTCTTCCACATGGAGCACTAATAGTCCATTTACTTTAACAAATTGGTACACTTTTAGTCATAACACTAAACACATTTTAATTTTAAACAGAAATCTAAGATCTAACAAAATATCTGTTCCCTTTATTTTCTTGTTTACCGAAAAAAATAAAGATGACAGATTTATCTAGATAGAAAATAGTAAATATACATAGAATTTATTTACTATTTATCTATTTACTATACGTAAAATATATATTTTACTAAGAAATGTTAAACACCGTTAATTTTTATTTGTAATCATTTTTATCTAGATAACCTCAAATGTTATCTAAATTTTTTATTATATACATAATATTTATTTTTATTTATGTATATTTACTATACGTTGACTCCCATAAAATAAAAAAATCTAATAAATCTATATTTATTTTATGTCAACGTATAGTAAATATTTGTTTACTCTCTGCAATGATTTTACGTATATTTATTTTATGTCAACGTATAGTAAACATATGTATATAATAAAAAATCTAGATAATATTTGAGGTTATCTAGATAAAAATCATTGCAAATAAAAATTAACGGTGTTTAACATTTCTTAGTAAAATGTATATTTTACGTATAGTAAATAGATAAATAGTAAATAAATTTTATGTATATTTACACTACTAAAAAAATCTGGTTTTAGCGACGGTCAAATTCTGTAGCTAAACAGAAAAATCCGTCGCTAATCTCGTTTAGCGATGGATTAGCGACATATTATCAAGAAATTTTGCTAGCTACGAGCGATTTAGCGACAGATTAGTGACGACGTTCGTAGCTAATTCCAGTTTTTTTTGTAGTGTTACTATTTGCTATCTAGATAAATCTGTCATCTTTATTTCTTTCGGTAAACAAGAAAATAAAGGGAACAAATATTTTGTCAGATCTTAGATTTCTGTTAAAAATTAAAATGTGTTTAGTGTTATGACTAAAAGTGTACCACTTTGTTAAAGTAAATGGACTATTAGTGCTCTATGTAGAAGAATATGTATGACTTTGAGTCTAAAGCCAAAGATAATGTATGTTTTTGGGCTTTTTTCAGTGTTATGACTAAAAGTGCACCACTTTATTAAAGTAAATATACTATTAGTGCTCCATATGAAAGAATGTGCATGACTTTGAGTCTAAAAACGAAGATTATGTATGATTTTGGGTTTTTCCTCATAATTTTCTATATCACCTTATATTAATCAGTGGTACTTGAATCTAATGCGAAACCTAAAAGTATCTTAATTTACTAGAAAGGTTGCTCAATATATACATCTCGATTTGACAAAGTCATCATCTCTTGTTCGAGAAACAAGACAGACTAACACCGTATTTGACATGAAGTGTTAATTCCAATTATTTATATTTGCACAGAAAGCATTTGAGCATATCTTATTCAAGAAAATATCGACTTTTATGTGTTGTGTAAACCTATCTAGGAAATTTGACTTTTGAGGCTGCTCGAAAAATTGGACAGAGACTAAGGACCCGTTTGGTCATAGATTTTACCAAAATAAATTTGGGTTTTATTTGGCAAATACATGTTTGGCCATAAATTTTGCTTACATTTTGGCCAAATCTCAAGTCCCAAATTCCAAACCCCAATACCAGCTCAATAGCTGGTTTTGGGCCAAAATATCACTATTATATTTTCTAAAAATTGCCCCAAACTTTTGTATTTTATAAAAGAGCCCACCATTTATTATTTTGTAACGATGTTGTTTCGTCTTCTCGGTCATCTGATAGTGTATCATGTAGTTCATTATAAAAATAATAATTTTGTATCAAATTTATTTATGTTCAGGACTATGGTTTGCGATAATATAATGAATGTTATTGATAATGGTATTGTTGGGTATTTGTGATAGTATTTAGAACTTGTGGGGTATAAGTCATGTTTCAAGGTTTTCCAAACCAAACTTCATCCAAAACAGATGTCCAAACACATTTTCATCTTCAAACCAAACTTCATCCAAATCAAATTTTTCAGAATAAATTTGGCAATCTATGACCAAACGCTAGCTAAGAGTATGGCTATTTCTTTTTTGTTAGTATTAAATTCGATCTGTAGAGCTGATGATCATTAAGCAATAATACAAGGAATAATACTATTATCTTTTCCAAGCTCTAATTATCTATCATTCGTAAGAATGGATGACATCATTGTATGATGTCTTGCTTGAGTCGGCCACGTTTCATTAATTTGGATCCAAAGTATAAAACGAAACATGCAGCACAGCAGCAGCACGTGACTTAGAGTTGTCTTCTGGCCATCGAAATTATTAAAGCTAATTCCACACAGTTTAAACAACTATCGTAGTGACTAGTGAGTAGTATTCTTTAATTTTATAAATGTAAGAAAAAAAGAGCAAAGCTTTAGACAAAAATGCATATGAGCTCCAAACAAAGCGTAAATGAACTCAAATGCATTGGAAATTGTTCCAGTTTATGAGGCAATATTTGACTTTTAAGGCAATATTTGTCATACCCTTATATGCACATGCAAATTTTGTCAAGTTGCAGTAAAATTATCTTGTATCTACCCTCAAGATTCCTGTTTGACATGCGTGAAGTAAATGAGCAGTATTATTGTAACTTGTAAGCTGATATCGTCGAAGTAGATAAAAGTAGAATTCAATATAATTTCTTTTCTAGTAAAGAAAGAAGACTCTCCAATCTCTTCTTAGTTAAATGAAAACTAATTCATATGATTCTACTTAATTATACTAGTTACCTGACAAATTGCTCTGGTAATCACAATTCACGTGCTTCAAATTTCAATCTTGTAGAAAGCCCTACCTACATTTGCGATCTCTAGCTGCTAAAATAATGCAAATAACTAAGTAATCAAGCATTTCTCAATTCTTAATTACACCTAATTTCACCTTAACCAAGTAATTAATTGGACAAACAAATATGTCAATCTTTGTATAATGTCTGTGTTGCGTGTATTTCTGTCACGGAAATTTGACCTTGAGGCTGCTGAGAATTGGACAAAGACTAAGAACATGACTTTTTATTTGTTAGTATTGTATGAGCGAAAAACTTCATTTTATGTGTTTGACCCGGTCAATGACGATAAAGCCTTTGAAGGCTGTAATGTGTCAACCTGACCGCAAAAGGTCGAGGTCAAGTGAGGAAGATAAATCGTTGTCGAGGTCGAGATGGCTTAACAGAAGACGAGGATGAGGACGAACATTCTTCTTCGGCACAAAGTGACGATCATTTTTAGGATTTAGATTCCCTAGAGAATATTTTAATGGATATTCCTTTTTGTTGTACTATCTAGGGTTTTGTGGCCTATGTACCCTTATAAATAGGAAGAGATGTAGTTCAAAGGGGGGATCACAACTTTTGTAAAGGATATCATCAACATTCTCTATCCAAGATTCTTACTTTATTGAATAAAAATAAAGATTGACTTTACACTTCCTTTCTTTTACCCATCTCCCGATCCAAGAAGAATCGGAATATACACTTGCTTGTCATCATCCATCATTGTCAGAAAGCATATCTGAAGACTTCATCCTTATCGGGTGATCTTTGTCTCATTTACTATCTAAAAGCCATTTATTATCATTTATTGCTACCTTTTACATTTATTAAGTCTTTATTGCTCCACCATTGCTCCAAGATAGTATTATTTAATATTACACGACAAATATTCGCCGTAAAAGTGTTAGATCCGTTATTGAATATTGATATTGTCTATGACTAACCCTATTTTTCTATAAATCTAATTCTATAAAAATCAAGGTTTAACTTTTGGGTCATACAATTTGGCGCCGCCTGTGGGAATTTCTTAGTCAAACTGTTAGTTTTCATTCGGATCTACAATTTTCGTAACTTGTTAACCTAATATACGACAAATTTGTTCTATCTTTCTATTTGCATACAAGAATTCCATGGCAAGTAATTAGGGAAAAGTCGACCAAGGAAAAGGATCAAGAGCGGCAGACAACATCTCGCTCAATCTAATGAGTGCCTTCGACAAAGGGTACGAAACTCAGGATGAAGAAAAAACTCCTACGACATCCCCCAGACGAGGGAAGTCACCGGCACCCTTCTGTAATACGATCAAGCCCAAAGGCAAAGTGGCTTCCATATCAGCGGAAGAAGGAGCACCACCTGCCATCAAAAAGCTCTTAGAGGCCTGGCTAACGGATACCTTGTTCAGCGTGATGAGCAAGCAGGTCCCGTGCACGATCGTGGAAGCCCCAAGGATCCATGCGACCCAACACAAGAGTGGGAAGGACGATAAGCTAAACCTCCTAGCTTCAGGTAATACCCATAAAACTGCTAACAGTGCAGGTGACAACACTCTTGCCGCCGTGTTATAACGAATGGAGGAAATGGAGAACGAGTACAGGGCACTCAAGGAACAGATGAAAGAGCATCAAGAACGGGTATACAAAATACCAGGTTCCCCTAAATTGATACCAAAAAGAGACGTTGACAGGTTCGTGGAACATCCATACAGGGAGGAGACAGCTCCTCATGCCATACCAAAAACTTTCAAGATGCCCCCGTACCTCAGAATCTATGACGAGACGACTGATCCCGAGGACCATGTGACCCATTACATCATCGCAGTAAAAGGCAACAATCTCATCAAAGAACGTGATATTCGCAGCTGCCGACCTACTCGATAGAAACATTCGAGGAAATGGCAGCTAAGTTCGTAACAGCACATGTGGGGGCCAAAAAGGCCAAAACCAGGGTAAACGACATCTTCGCCACTAGGCGATCCCCAGGGGAAGGACTGAGGGACTTCTTGGCTCGGTTCAACAGGGTGAGGATGACCTTACCGAATGTCTCTAAAGGAATGGACGTAGCAGCCTTTTAGAATGGGCTGACAGAGAAGGGTCAAGTGCGACCAAAAAGTTGCTAAGCTGATTGATGAAATACCCACCGACCACCTGGGACAAGATCTATAATGCTTATTATGCCGAGGTCAGAGCAGACGAAGGAGACCTCAATGTGCCAACTCGATGACTTATATCAGTGCAACCCAAACTCAAGAAGGAACGTGGGGTCAACACAAGGAGAGACCCATCGATGGCGCGATCGAGCAGAGATCGATATCAACCTTATATTAGACTACCCGTCTCCAACTTTCACCGTGAAGACGGCCCCTCCAGGACAAGATCAGACGTCCACATAAATGACCGAGGTATGATTCCTTTACTATCTACTCATAATTTTTGTGTGTCACCCCAGAGGTGGTCTACGCACTTGAGAAGCTCGGACTGAAGGTGAAGTGGCCACCGAAGATGAGGTCCGACCCAAGTACAAGGAAGTCAGACGCCTTCTATGAGCTCCACCAAGACCGAGGGAACATTACAGAAGACTGCCACACTCTAAAGTTAGACGTGGTGAACCTGTTGCAACAAAGGCACCTCAAAGAGTTGCTTAGTGATAAAGGCAGGAACATCTTAGCAAAGGGGCGAAAATGCCCAGGTCTTCCAAAGCCGCCGTCTCCCGCTCGTACCATTAACATGATTATTGGAGGTAGTGACTACACCTCCATCAATGGCATAAAATTCACCACCACTCATAAACTTAAGAGATCGATCACCCACAAATGGTATGATGGCCTCGAAGAGAGTATCATCTTCGATGAGTCAAATGCCAACGATTTGACTTTCCCTCATAACGATGCACATGTTATTACTTTACGCATTCATGATACTGACATTAGAAGGATTATGATGGACGACAGAAGAGGAGCATGCATTATCCATCCTCAAGTCCTCGTACAGATACGACTAGAAGACAAGATAGTGTCGCGCGACATCACACTAACAGATTTTATCAATGCAGTTGAACAGACTCCGGGCGAGATCACACTCCCCGTCCTCACTGGCGGGGTGACGTTAGAGACCACATTCCACATCATAGACCAGGACACGGTGTACAATGCCATTGTAGGTTGACCATGGATACATCCCATGAAGGAAATCCCCTCCAGCATGTACCAAGTGATGAAATTCCCAACCCCCTGAGGAATATTCAGCATATAAGGGGAACAACGCACATTCAGGGAATGCTATTGGATCGCCCTGAAAAGTATAACTACTCAATAAAAGAAAGAAAAAGAAAAGGAAGCATAACAATCAGCAGGGTCGAGGTCCCTTCAGGTCGAAGCCGAAGACACCATCATGAACGCAAAAATGGTCAAAGCTGTAGGATCGACCATAGAGGACCTTAATCCTGTAGAGCTAGATATAAGCGACCCCATAAAAAAGGCCTACATAGGTTGCAAACTCAAAAACCTAGGTTAGTTTAGTCAATTTTTAATATCTAACACATATAAGCCATGCAGATATGCCAGGCATACCCAAAGAGATAGCCACGTACAAGTTAAATATCGACCCCGACTACCCTCTAATAAGGGAGGTTCGATGAAAGTTCAACCCCGCCATCAACAAGACTGTCCACGAGGAAGTGGAGAAATTGTTGGCCAATGGCTCTATTAGGGAGTCGAAGTAACCCCAAGTGGATTGATAACGTGGTAATGGTAAAAAAGAAGAACGAGAAGTGGAGAATGTGCGTGGACTTCACCGATCTGAACAAAGCTTGTCCGAAGGATTCGTTCCCATTGCTACACATCGATCAACTCATTGATGCCACAACAGGACATGAGTTGCTGAGCTTCTAGGATGCTTACTCGAGCTACAACCAGATACATATGGAAGAGGATGACTAGGAGAAAAATACATTTATCACTCACAGGGGAACGTATTGCTATAGGGTCATGCCATTTGGGTTAAAGAATAAGGGGGCTACCTATCAAAGGCTGGTCATGAAGTTGGCTTGAGATGTTCAAAAGCCAACTTCAAAAGACCATGGAATTATACATTGATGGCATGCTAGTCAAATCCTTGAGGGTCAAGGATCACATTGACCATCCAAAGGAAGCATTCAAAATATTGAGGAAATATGAGATGAAACTGAACCTCGAAAAATGTGTGTTTGGCGTGACTTCGAGTAAATATTTGGGTTTCCTGGTATCACAACATGGAATCGAGGTCAACCTAGATTAGATTAAGACTATAGACGGGGATATCAGAATACCTAACCACAAAGAAATAAGTCCAAATATTGACGGGTTGATGCACCGCACTATCCAAATTTATATAGAGGCCGTCCGACAAGTGCCGCTGATTCTTCAACGTACTCAAAAAGGACAACGGCCTTGAATGGACACCCGAATGCAAACAAGCTCTGAAGTAACTCAAGGAATACCTGTCATCACTGCCCCTTTTCTCAAAACCTGAGTGCGGAGAATGTCTCCTCGTTTACCTCGCCGTTTTAGAAGTAGATGTAAGTTCTATCTTGGTTCGAAAAGACAAAGGTACGTAATATCCAATTTACTATATCAGTAAAACACTTATCAACGCCGAGACGAGATATCTTCACCTCGAGAGATTGACCGTGACCCTTGTCATAGCTTCAAGAAAGCTCAGGCTGTACTTCCAATGCCATCCAAGCTCGGTCATTACCACGTTTCCTTTGAGGAACATACTGCACAAACTCGAACTATCGGGGAGGCTGGCCAAATAGGCAATAGAGTTAAGTGAACATGACATCACTTATCAGCCTCGCACAACCATAAAATCACAAATGCTTGCTAACTTTGTTGTGGACTTTGATTCACTCCCAATCCACACTCAATAATGAGCGGAAGAGGTCGTTGGAAGAATAGTACCCAACTATGAGTCGGGGTCGATTTTCTCATGGAGCTAACAATGCGTGTTAGAGTGTACACTTGATGCGTGTAAAATAAATAACTTAAATATACTTCCAAACAAGTTTGTGTTTCAAATTACTTCTAAGAACTACACTATTAGTGATTAACTAGAGAGATGAACTAGAAATCGACTAGTTATTTTTGGTTTTTTTCAAATAGGTAAAAAGACTAGGGATGCAACCTTCGCTTAATGGGTTAATTATGTTAACACTTGTTTTATTGGTTGGAGTGTATTATAGCTCTCAACTCTAAGTTACCCACTCAATACCCCTCGATCATAGAGTGATTTTGCCCAATTTGGCTTTGCCCAAATGGGTATCGAGCTAAATAGTTGATATGAGCTCAAGTCGGGTATTCTCTATCTCTAGTCCAAACCCTTTAAGTAGGCTAGTCAAATACTTAACTAGCCCAATTTCTTATTAGCCATGCTTTCCTAGACTAGGTCCCTCTTTCTCAAGTAAAGACCAAGTCAAAAAGGCATGAATCAATATTTACAACTATTAATTCTAAAATTAAAGCATGAACAAGGCTAAATAACAAATACCCAATCATAAACAAGCATTAAATTAAATACCCATAAGTTTTACACACTAGAGTTAGGTCATAACCCTAGTAAATGTCTAGCTACTCATAGTAGAAAATGAAGAAAACAAAGAAGAAACACTAATTAAAGACATAATATAAAATTAAAATGATAAACTATGATGTTTTTATCCCAAATTGATCACAAAATTTCTAAAATGGTAAACTACAACGGCTACAACTGAGAAAACTTCAAAACTTGACCTAAAAAAGTGATTCCCGACTATTTATAATGGCCCAAAATTTGCTGACAAAAATATCCTTCGTGAGGTTCTGCGGCCGCACAATTCCATGTGCGGTCTACACATTGCTTGAGTCTGCAGGTTGATAGATTCTGCAGCCGCACAATTTGATCTGCGGCTGCACTTCAACTTCTGCGACTGCACAATTCATGTGCAGTCCTCACTTTTGGCAAGGCTTCAGTCTTGGTCATTTTGCATATTCTCTGAACTTTTTGAATTCTTGTTAGTGCGATCATGTTCTGTGGCCGCACAAATTATGTGCGGTCCGCACTTCTTTTTCAGTCACTTCTGGGCTTCTTCATCAAGTCTGCGGCCGCAAGGAGAATTTTGCGGTCCGTACTTTCTTTTGCAGTCGCAGAAATACTTCTGCGGACCGCAATTATTGTCTGATGCGCCCCTTCTTGCCTTGTGTGATGGAACACTCCGTTTTGAATTGGATTTCTTCATTAGAGTCCAAATCTCTAACATTTTTGCAATTTGTACACTTTCATTAATTTTGGGAATATAAATCAACACTTCGGACTAAACTAAAACAAGAAGGTACTAATAAGTGGTCAAAATCCACACTTATCAACTCCCCCAAAATTATGTCTTTTCTTGTCCTCAAGCAAATAGATTAGTTCCCACCTCCTTAGAGCGAGAGGTCATTTCATCGAGTCAATAGTAAGCCGTCCATACTCAGTTGGGACCAACAGTTACCCACAATACTCATGCATTATCAACAAGGTGACAAGTAAAATATCATGCACATATAATTCTAATGTAACATTTGAGCTTCAAGAATTGACTTTATTCATCGAGAACTCTTGTTTTATCATGTAGACTCCAAACTCTTCCTACTCTACCTTCCATTTGCCAAGCTCACTTCAAAAGTTGGCACTTAATCTTTGGATCAATGAAAGGTTCACTCTTTTCTCACAAAGAATGTCACAAGTAAGGCTTTAAGTACCATAGGCTTGCCCCTCATGTAGATCACCACTAATGTAAGCTCACTTGGTTCGAAATCAAGTAGGACTTCTTTCGGGTTGTAATGAAGGCTTTTGGATTCAGGTAGGATACCATATGGGTAAGTGGTTACACCTTTCCTTAAGCATTCCACATTTTCATTTCTTGGCTCACATTTACCAATTCATAGAGGCATTCTCATTTTCTTGGGGGCTAGAGAGACTTGACATCACCCTTTCTTGTTCATTTTGAATCCATCAACTCTTCCTTTTATTCTCTTTCTTGCATTTTTTTTATTCTTTCTCTTTTCTTGCCTTTTCTTTTCATAACGATAATTTCTTTCCTCTTTTTGGTGCCTTGATACCTCTTTCAAATTCCTCAACTCTCCCCCCAAACTTATGCCTTAACCCACTTATTTCACAAGAGTGTTAAGGAAGGTCTGGGTGGCAAGAGAGGATCACGACAAAACGGGTAAAGGCTTATAACATGGTTATCAAATGGGAAAGGCTAGAATCTCAAAGGGGATTGACTAGGGATAATGACATTGGTTGGCAATAAAAAGTTCAAACGGGACAAGGAAAGCCTACAATCATTTTCCAACCTAAGCAGAACTTAGGATTTCGCCTTGAAGTACATTCGGGGCAAGTTCTAGACCATTTGCACGGATACTTGGACTAGCAACAAATCACCTCACCCCTCATACAACTAGACCATAAAAGAGGATAGAGTCGAGAGCCTACAATAACCACAATCAAGTTAAAGATCACTATGGTCCAATAAACCACTCGATGATTACCAAAGTCAACTCAAGAGTCTCAAAGTCACTAACTAGAGCTATTTTCTTTCAAAAACCTTGTTTCAAACCATAAGCACGTAGTTAAGTGTGTTGGTACCAAATGAAGCATGAATAACTCTTTTTCAAGAATGACTTGATTAGGCCTTTTATTCATTGCTACTACTACTATTATTACATAGATACCAAAAATAGACTCATTTCCGTAAGAAGGTTGTCACGCCATCCATCGTTGGGACGAGTCACCCGGTTCACACAAAAACTACCTTTGGAAAGAATCATGGCATTAAGAAAACCAAAGGCTTTTTATTTATGAAACATAAAAAATAATCTACTAACAAAACAAGAACTAAAGTGGAAAAACGAAGAAGCTAATGAACAATAAATACTAAAGATAGATAAACTACAAATAAGAAAAGGAACAAAATCATCCAATTATTACAGTCCAAATGTATCCAAAATGTGTCAATGTCAAATCAAATAAACTCCACCTCCCCGAATAAAAGTAAGAATTATCCCAAATGCTTACCAAAATAAGAGTGAAAAGAGAGAGGGCGAAGAAACTCCCTAAACATCTTAGGACATCTCAGTGTCCCAGTAATATCATCGCCCATCAGGTCA